TTTCTCCAGCCTGGAGAAACCGTTTTAGTTGTTTAATGGAATCCAGTAATCATTTTAGAGGCTCCTCAGCTAAGTGGCCGTTTTTAATTGAGTCTGCTTTAATGTGAATTAATATCAAACACTATCTTTTATTTACAGTGTTTTATTTTCCTGTATTCTGTAAATATGTGGTTGTGTTAAATGTATTTTTTCATTATTTTTTCTCTCTGTGGTGTGTTGTTGCATGAATTCATGGACCCATTTAGTAGTAAACGGCACCACAGTGTATTCAACAGTCACTGTTCATTTTGTGTCCTGATTAAGTTCTGATGTGAATCTGTTGTTCTCATGTTGCAGGTAAAGAAGAAGAGTTTCCCAAGAAGACACTGGGGCAGCTCCCTCCTGATGTAGGGGCAGCAGTGCTGAACCATGTGGGCAATGGTCAAAGCCACACAGAGCCAGCCGATCCTCCTCGGAACTCAAGTCCTGTACCGGACCGCCGGCAGGACAGTCGGCCCCCGAGCCGGGCACGTCAGGACTCAGTGGAGAGATCGTTTCGCCACCAAAAAGTGGATAAATTGGACGTCCATTACAGGGGGTCAAATGAAACCCAGAATGAGCAGCAAAAGCAGTCCACCACCACCACCCCTGAAAAAATGGCAACTCCTCAGATCACCACAATAGACAGTAGAAAGCCTCAGAGCCATGCCACCGCAAACCACAACTCCAACGCAGCCTCCAGCACACACAGAACCATCACACCCCGCTGGGTCAAACCCTCCGAGACAAAGTTAGAAGCTGTAAAAGCTGCAGCGGCTAGAGATAACCACCTCAGTCGTGGGACTTCGCCAGCTCCTTCCAGCCCAGACGAAAATGTTTTACTCAAACGTCGGCCGATATCCAAAGGATTTGGCCATGGCTCTGATCGAGGGTCCAATGCCTCCCAGTACGACAATGTACCGGGGATGTTGGATCAGGACTTGGGGATTCTGGAGCATGACAGGCCTCCATCTAGAGAGCGGATCCCTCACAATGAGACATCCTTTAGTGTTTCAGAACAGCATCATGGCAGCCAAAACTATGGACCAAGTCTGGATGGGAATGTAGTTTCCATCTCATCTGGGCCAAGAACGACCAAGAGCCCTCATTTTTTCCACAACAATCCAGCAGGGGTCCCAGTCAACTACTCTGCCAGCCAAAGTCGGTATCACACACCTCACCAGCAGTCTCCAAGAAGAACTACAACTGAGGTTCCTATCCTTCACCCGGGCTACAGTGTGAGTCTGGACCAAAGAGTGGATGACAGACTCAATGGACCCTCTGGGTTTAACTCACCAGAGGTGTACAGAGAACTAATATATGCAACCGCACAGCGACACCCCAGCAGAGTCTCCCCTAAGAAGACTATTCACAATAACTCTTTCGCCACCTACCGCAGACCCCCAAGGTCTGACAACTTTCAAAACACAAGATCACCCCCAAACCAATCTCTGCAGCTAGAACCCCAGAGCAGCTCCACCCCCATCTACGTGCAACAACTTACACTCACATCAACCTCACAGATCCACACTCAAGTGAACTACAGAGCTGAGGGCCATCGAAGGGGTGAGGCAAACCCACACTATCTGCCAGACGGTAGACCAGTTCAAGCTGTAGACAGGCCCCACTGGGAGCCAGAGGGTCCACACCCACCACATTCACCAGGCGGGATGCCTCGCTCACCCAGCTTCCAGCAAGCCCAACTGTCTCCTGTTCAGGCGTTCACTTTCCCCCCCAACTCTGATGGTCAGACTCACTACAGGACACAGCAGCAGCAGCCAGTTATACGGCAACAGCTCCCTCAGCTGTT